TCCAGTCACGTGCGCGATTCACTTTGCGTGTCGAAATGTTCGATCCCACCGATCTTACTTTACGAATAAGTTTTAATTCGAACTTATTCAGTTACATTTTAGATACCCAGTCATATAAGTAATATAAAGAATACAAATTATTTCATGGGTAAATTAATTTATCAGAAACTCAACAAACACAAACACACACACTGTTAGGCTTTTATTTGTGCACGTAACTTGAATCGATCTGTGGAATATGTGGTAGATGCCTTGTCCTACGGAGCATCTTTCACAGGCTTTTGGCTGCTATATTTTTAATGAACCACCAGATGGCGCTGTTTTCGAGACACTCGAAGCTTTGAATCTTTTCCCGAAACAGTCAGAGGAAAGCCTCAGTGCTTCACGAGGCTTCATTTGCCCATCCCTACCCCCTACATATTTCACTGTGCGTGACATGATTTACACACAGCGTGTGTCTTCTACAGGTCGTGCTCAGGTTGTTCGTAAAAGCCGAAATGTGGCCAGATGTCGGCTTTTAAAGTAGTTGGAGCATTTTTAATTACTCGCACTCGCGTCTCGCCTCCCTCTGCCATTAGGCGCGTTCGAATTCAAGCAGCGCTGCGCAGGATGAATGTATGACATCAACCGCGAAAGCATAAGGATCCATCTGCTCTCTTATCGCTCTCGCGGTACTTGGTCATACACTGATCATTCTGCGCAGCGGCGCTTCAAGCCGAACGCGCCTAATGTATGCTACCGCGACAAAGCACGTATGCGACAAATGACGTCAGAAAAGCGTCAGTACGTTATAATCGGTTATGGTCTATTACTGAACCGATACCGATTCGTCCTCGTCTGCATCGCGATGCATCGAAGAAACTATTACTTTCGACACCCCTACCGAATATTACTCTTTTTTTTTTTCTGTAAAGCTACTCTGAAATAATGTGCATTAAGAAAAGCAATATATAAACAAAAAGATACTAACCAGTGGCATGCGCTCCACAAGAGCTTCAGGTGGACGTGATGGTCTAGCGGCCAACAGTGGCGCCAGGGACATAGGGGCGACTCCATTCTGCTCTGTCTGATCCAGTTCACTCAGCTGTTGTGTGATAGAATCCATTTCCTCCTGCAGTTTTTCAGTGTGGACACTAATCTCAGAAATCTTCTCAGCAGCCTGGGCAGTGAGGAACGCTTCCTTTAGATCCACCAGGTGCAGGACACGCCACTCCTCCAGGCGAACCAGCCTATTCAGCTCATCGAACTGCTGGTTCACATACTGCTCCAGCTCTTCTACACTCATCTGAAACATTAACAAACATTTCCCTTTAAAAATAAACCACTGAGAGGCTTAAGAATGATTACTTTGGCTGTAAGGTAAAAGACAAGCTAAATTGAAACCAGCTACACAAACCTCTGACAACAAACTTATATAGTAATAATCATATAATCAAAAACAAAGAGTAACAGAATCAGGGGTCATGTAAGGATCATCATGGCACTGGTCCATCCAGATTGATGGCTGCTTGGAATATACAGTGTTGCTTGAAAGTTTGTGAACCCTTTAGAATTGTCTATATTTCTGTATAAATATAACTCAAAAAAAATCATCAGATTTTCATGCAAGTCCCGAAAGTTGACAAAGAGAACCCAATTAAACAAATTAGATGAAAATATATACTTTGTCATTTATTTATTCAGGAAAATGATCCAATATTACATATCTGTGAGTGGCAAAAGTATGTGAATCTCTAGGATTGGCAGTTAATTTGAAGGACCTCAGAAAAAGAGTTGGTGTTGCTCATCAGGCTAGAAAAGGTTTCAAAGCCATCTCTAAAGAGATTGGACTCCACCAGTCCACGGTCAGACAGACTGTGTACAAATGGAGGAAATTCAAGACCACTGTTACCCTCCCCAGGAGTGCTCCACCAACAAAGAACACTCTAAAAGCAAGACGTGTAAAAGTCCACTAGGTTTCAAAGGACTGCAGGCTAACTTCTAAGCAACTAAAGGCCTTTCTCACATTGGCTAATGTTAATGTTTATGAGTCCATCATCAGGAGAACACTGAACACATGGTGTCCATGGCAGAGTCGCAAGGAGAAAGCCACTGCTCTCCAAAAAGAACATTGCTGCCCGTCTGCAGTTTGCTAAAGATCATGTGGACAAGCCAGAGGAATACTGGAGAAATGTTTTGTGGATGGATGAGACAAAATAGAACATTTTGGTTTAAATGAGCAGCGTTATGTTTGGAGAAAGAAAACACTACATACTGGAATGTATAAGAACTTGCCTAGAAGCGACAGGTGCGGTAGGTGCGGAATTTTAAGTGCAGAATAGTAATTTGAAGAAGAAAAAAAAAAGTGTTAAGGCAATTATGTATGTGACTCACATCTGGGCTGATCCATTTGGCCTTGATCTTCTCTGATATCTCATGTGTGCGCTCCAGCAGGTCAATGCCTTCTTTGCTCTGTAACACAAATAAACACATTCACAAGTGACTCTCAATTATTGTTAAAGGGTTAGTTCACCCAAAAATGAAAATCCTGTCATAATTGCTTCACCTCATGTTGTTCATAAGACCCATACGACTGTCATCTTTTTTGACTAAATAAAATATTAGTATTTTACTGACATTCAAAGACAATGCAATAGAGAAAATAATAGTTACTGTAATAGTAAGTCATTCAGAAACAGTTATTATTACAGTAAATAATTCAGACTACTGTTTTCAGTGTCGACTAGCAGGAGCTGTACCGTTTAGTCGACTAGACCCGCACATCCCTAATTTTAGCACAGAAGCCTGAAAGATTTTCTTGACTGTTTTCATGTCATAGGCTCTCATCAGATTACACAGCTCATGTGTGACTTGATTTTTTCCACAGTTATTTATTTTTTTTCCCCCACTGTTGTCGTGGATGTCCCAATTGGGATACAGGAAGTGCAATTTTCAGCTAAATGTTCATGTTATACAGTATATGTTATATATTTTTATCGTAATCGTACCACTGAATTTTTTGAGGTATCGGCAATTATCATATCGCTGGTTATGAGAATCGATATCAGATCGTATTGTGATGACCCCTACTCGATCGTTTACACCCCTACTACACAGTCTTTGTTCCGTCTTGAGTTTTGCGGGTTTACATAAACTGCACTAACCAGTGATGTCAATTAGAACAATTCTTTGTTTTACTTTGATGACTGAAAGAAAGTGTTAGCTGTCACAAAACAGAAACTGTCCTGTCGGCTTGTGGCTGTTATTTTGTTTCTATATTATTATTTTAATTTTAATTTTTTCCCCCATGTACATTTCCTATAGCCTCTATCTGATTTGAAAAAACAGAATGCACATGGTGACATCGATTAATTTCACAAAACCTTTATCTCCTGGGTTCACTTTTACAGTAAGAAAAGAGCTGAAACTGTCTTCAAAGCTTTTGTGTTTCATGAGGGTTATGACAGATTTATCATTTTTTGAGGGTGAAAAAATAAGGGCGAGTAAGGCTAGAAACATTCATTCTGCAAGTATGAAATACGTGTACTTTGAAATATGTGTGCTTTATTAGCTTCTAGCGACACAAGATAGACCTCATGCCGTTGCAGGTTGCTGTGCAATTAATAAATGAATGAAAATATGTGTGCTGAATAAGTGTTCGCATATGCAATCGTATAATTGCATTTAGTATGTTGCTGGCCTAAATAATGACAATGACAAATAATGAGAAAAACACCACAGTGTTGGACTTTGTTTGTGTATGTGTGTTGACTGACCTTCTGCCACAGGTAGGCCTCTTTGAGAGTGATAATCTCATGTTCTCTGTGCTCTCCCTGCACAGCGCACACCACACAAATTACCCGCTGGTCGTGTTTACAGTAGAGCGAACCCTCTTGACCATGCTCCTTACATTTCAGCCTCTCCACGGTCACAGTGTCTCTTTTCACTGCTCCGGTCTGGAGTGATGGTTTATGCTCATCATTATTGGTGGCCTCCGCCCCCTCTGCTGCGTTTCAGACACCTGGCAGTCTTTCGGTGGCCCACGCTCTGCCTGAGGGTCTGGGGTGCTGTACGGCTGGAGTTGGTGACCAGTGCTTTGTGAATGTTTGTCTGCATGGCTGGAGCAGAAGGCAAAGCGACAGAGTGTGCACATCCAAACAGCTGACTGAGGCTCGTCCGGTTCACACGCATCACACGTGCCATCCATCTGTGGCCAATCATCCTCAATAAAGCAGCTGTCCCAGCATCCTCTCGATGCATCCATGGCGGTGGAAGATGGGGATAATAGTGAGTGTCTGGGTTGGAGCCTCAAACTGGACAATGACAATGAAGGACAATGCAATAAAATAAGTTGCAGTAACAGTAATGAGTGAATGGTTCAGTCAACAGTGCAAATGTAGCAATTGTGCTACTTTTCTGTGCTACAATCTTTCTGTGGCAGAGCTTCAACGAGTGTCATGGGTGTAGGGCACTAGTGGCCAAATTAGCATAGTAAGACTTTGGAGTATATAGTAATTAGTTTGCTAAAATAAATATGCTAAGAAAAATTTTGGTCCATCTTTTCTTTTTGCAGCTGTGTGACTTCTACTTGAACCCACAAATGAGTGTTTAGCTTTATTATCAGTTCAGAGCCTCCCAAAGTTATGTACAGCGGTACAGAGCTCTTTACTGCAAACAAGACCATTCATTCATTGTCCCGTCTTGGAAAAAAAACAAACATTGAATGGTCTATTTGCCTTCTATCGCTTTTTAAACAGAGTAAAACCTTTAGAAAATAATTATAATTTCTGAATTATTTTATTAACTGAAAACAAAAAGCAAAAATAACTAAATAAATAAAAAATAGCTGAGGACAATGACTCCAAAATGAGCTGCACTTTCTTTACTGACCATATGGTGGCCGTGATTTTGCCAAGAAAGACATGTTCCTGGATCAACATTACTGTCCAAAAATACAGACTTAACCCAATCCCCACCCCTAAACCTAACCTTACCCATAACGTATTCCTAAAATCAGAGGGAAATGATAGCTGATTAACAAGGGTGTAGAAGCGCCTAATCCTGATTGTAAGCCTAAAACTGACATTTCCCGAAAAGTTATATCTCAATTCTGATTGGTTGATTGGAATGATGTTCCAGGATCAACAAGGATGTTGATCCAGGAACATGTACTTGGTCAAATCACGCTCACCCTGACCATACGGTCTGGAGTGATTAACAGTTTGGATTTTGAGTATGTTATTGCAAAATCTAGAAAAGAACCTACATTTTTGTTACATTTTGATTTGAGTGGGCAGTTGGTTGTTTTCTGACATTTTGCAGATTTAGCTCAGTGCTTATTGTACTTTTACATACAATCCTGCATGGACTTCAAAAGACACTTACAGCACAACTTTACAGTTCATTCAACATAGTAACATTCTACTTAAATACAGACATTTTATTTGACCAGGTTTCTCCCAAGGTTTTTTATTCTCCATTCTTCCTTGCAACAGTCACCTTTGGCTTGCACAGTAGGGACTAAAGATTATATGTAGGTACTAGTATAGCATGACTTTTAATTAACTTTCAGTTAACAAAAATCTTAAATCCCATTGTTTATATGCATCATTTAACATACATATTACATTAAATAATTTGCCTGCATTTATGCATTCATGGAACATGTTAACACTGCGTTAATGCTTTCTGAAAATCTTAAGCAAATGAAAATCTAAGTCAATAAATTATTCATAAACCCTTGTTCTTGTTTTATTAATAGCCTTTAAAATTACTAAGCTTATATGTTACTAAGCTTATATGTGTACCTACATTTCAAGCTATTGCATTAATACTTGCATATTGATCTCTTGTTCTACTGCACAGAAGTATATCTATCTCATATTTTCGATTCATCAAATGACCCTGAAAAAAATGTATCGCAGTTTGCCTCAAAACTATTAAGCCACAAAACGTCTTCAACATTGATAAGTTATGTTTCTTAAACACTAATTTAGAATATCAGAATGATTTCTGAAGGATCATATGACAATGCAGACTGAAGTAATGGCTGCTGAAAATTCAGCTTTGCCATTACATTAATCCACACACACACACACACACACACACACACACAAGAAAACAATTATTTTAAATTTCACAATATTACTGTTTTACTGTATTTGCAGCCTTGTTGAACAGAAGAGACTTAAAAACTTGAGTGATCTGAACCATTCAACAACCTTCCGGTTACTAGCACAGATACTAACACAAAACGTTTCCTCCTCCTGAAGTTTAGCTTCAACAGTTTTCCTCTCCACCTCACAGCATGAGAAATGATGCTAATGTCGTACATACAAAACATTTGTTTTCACCATTTATGTTCCCGTCTCTCTCCTCAGTCTTACCTTTCTCTGTTTCCTTTGTCTCTTTGTGAACACGTATGATCATATGTGCTGTTGCTGCTTTTTTTTCTTTCCGTCGTTTCTTTCTTTATTGTAATTTCTGTTGTCACAGAGCTGTAATGTTGCAGTGCTCTGCACATTCACACTCAGCTGCCTGCACTTCCTTGTTTTGCTTTGGGAGTTTTTTTTTTTTCTCAATATTTCCTGTTCCTCCACACAAACTGAATGCCAGAGACTAGTTACAGGAGACAAAGAACAGACTAAATAAGAAGGTTAAAGCCCACAGAGAGATATTTAGATCTGAGAATATTTTTTTTAGTTAGTTGATCAGTGATGGTTTTAAAATCTCTCTTTCTCTCTCTCAGTGATGACTACTGGGAGTAGGCGGAGCGTTCTTCTTCTTCTTCTTTTTGAGGTTTTATTGGCGGTTGACAAACAACAAAATTGTGTATTTACCGCCACCAACTGGTATGGAGTGTGGACTAAAATGACTTCCTCGCTTTTTTTATATCCTCTCCCATAAATTAGTTATTTTAAGATACTGAAAAATAAAACTATAACATTAATTTCCTGAATTATTTAGTAAAATATCTCCTAGTATAAATTGCATTTTTATTTTTTTCTAAATTTTGCATTATAATCCTTCTTTCATGTTCCACTGGTTCTTCTTGCCCACAAAATTCACACCTTCCCTTATCATGTTCACCCATTTTATAAAGTGTACTGTTTAGCCTTGTATGTCCAAATCTCATCCTTGATATTATTATCTCATCTCTCCTGTTTTTCCTGCACTTCTCATCTCTCCCACTTTCCTTTGAATTCTGTAAAACCATCGACCTTTCTTCTCCTTATCCCATTGTTTTTGCCACCTTTCCTTTTCCTTTTCTTAATAATACTCTTGATTTCATTCTTACTTAGATTAACAATTAAATTAATGTCGTTGTTTTTTATGGTTTCTTTTGCTGCCTTATCTGCTCTTTCATTTCCTTGTATACCAATAGGCCTATGTGCGGGTGCCCATAAAAATACCACTGTAATGCCCATCATTTGAATTCTGTATATGTTTGCTTTATTTCAGTTCAAATGTCTGGTCTACTTTCCGAGTGACTAAGCTAGCCAATGATGAACTTGAATCTGAACAAACCACTGATTTCAAAGGTCTTATCTCCTCTATCCACTGTATTGCTAACAATATTGCAATTATTTCCCCTGTATAAACAGATAACTAATCACTGATCCTTTTATTGATAAATGAAATTCTGGAACAGTAAACGCTACTCCTATCTTATTGTCTAAACTCTTTGATGCATCTGTGTAGATCTGAACATAGCTGTGGTACTCATTACGTCTGCACGTTAAATGAATTACATGCCTTATCCTTATTTTTCTTTTAAAATCCACTGTAGCGTCTGGAAGTAACCAAGGTTTTATTACAGGTAGGCTAGTACAGTTGGACTAACATTTAACTGATTAACTTTAAGTTCTGTTGCTTTCTGTATCTTGTTATTACGAGAAAATATATTGTTTTAACGAGAAAACATCTCGTTATTACGAGAAAATATGTAGTTTTAACGAGAAAAGATGTCGTTAAAACGACATATCTCGTTATTACAACATAATTGAGAGGGGAAAAAATATGTGTGTGGCAGCAATGCGTCACCGTAGTATCACTGTCCATCCAAAGCTTTTTGTTTTCCTCCTCTCTTTTTCCCAACAGGGCTTTAAAGTATCTAGTGTTGGATGCTCTTGACTATGGCCTTGTAAATTAACCCAATAATTCACTGATAACTGTACCCTTCTCATTTCTAATGACATTTCTACCTGTAGTGCTGTAATTGGTGTATGTTTTTATAGCTCCTGTACGTAGTCTCAATACCTAATGCTGTATATTGTCTAACTTTCTAAGAGATGTTTCTGCTGCTGATCCATACACCACACAACCATAATCTAACACAGATCTAACCAATCCACTATACATGGCCTTTAATGCCATCCTATCTGCCCCCCTGTATCCTTCTCATTTCTAATGACATTTCTACCTGTAGTGCTGTAATTGGTGTATGTTTTTATAGCTCCTGTACGTAGTCTCAATACCTAATGCTGTATATTGTCTAACTTTCTAAGAGATGTTTCTGGTGTTGATCCATACACCACACATCCATAATCTAATACAGATCTAATCAACCCACTATATATGGCCTTTAATGCCATCCTATCTGCCCCCCATTCACTGCCAACTAAACACCTCATTATATTTATTACTTTCTTACATTTGTCCAGTTTTTTCTGGATATGCATCGCCCATGTAATTCTTTCATCAAACCACAACCCTAAAAACTTAAAATGTTTCACTCTTAGGCAGAGCATTGAGAGTGCAGTGGCTTTAACGTGTGCTTAAAGGTGCAATAAGCGATTTCTGGAAACCGTTGTTGATATTTGTAATCACACTTTCGTTTTGGAAAAGCGGAAGCTACGAATAGTAGTGTAAAAAAATATATAATAATAAGATTTGACAATGCCCATAGCACGGGGTGTTGTGATTTACACTACATCACAGATGTTTCATCAAAACACATCAAACACACTTTACAATCATTAATCAGGTATGATGAAACGGGAAAAAAAAA